TTATAGTATAACTTTTCACTTTTTGATACGATAGGCATTTCAAAATGGTTGTCAGTAAAGGCAAAGTTTGAAGCGGAAACAAATTCATCTTTTTTTTTTAGAATAATGAACACTATATGCAATCAAGCTTACTAGTAATTAAAGTTATTCACTTGCACCTCAGACTTGCACATACTAGAACTTTATTTATAATCAAGTCAAATGAGACCCAGTTGAATAGGGGAGCAATTCAAGCTCCTTGGAGCCTCTAATTATGTTTGGCATGTACAGATTTGTGTAAATTATGAAGTCCTGCATTTCCATTGCAGGTTCTGAATAAGATGAATTTTAAGCTTTTCCCAATAAAGACTATGTTAAACTTTGGACTCATAGTGCTCAGACCCACGGATCTCTGTACCTTCATTTGTACACACTTGAATCTTAATGTACAGTAACTACTGAGGCTTGATGCAAATTATTACTGCATTGCTATTGTTGGTTCTTAATGAGATTCTTCAAGCGTCCTCCCCATTGAAGCCCTATTAAAACTTTGTACCCCAAGTTCTTTTAACCACTGTTCCCCAGGGCAACTATTCCTACAAACTTAAGGGGAGGGTTAGGATTCCGCTAACATGTTTAACCCCGCCACATTCTTTATGTATGTGTATGTCTCAAGTCTTTAATTTACATATTTGTTTTTCGTTTATTTTTGTACATAAAATAGGCCGCTAGTTTTTCTCGTTTGAATTGTATTACATTTGTCATTTCGGGGCCTTTTATGGCTGACTATGCGGTATGGGCTGTGATCATTGTTGAAGGCCGTACGGTGACTTTAATTGTAAATTTCTGTGTCATTTGGTTTCTTGTTGAGAGTTGCGTTTTTGAACAAACCAGCGTATCCCAAGGCCTTGATAACCTCTGTAGGCCCCAAATAAGACGAAAAAAAACATCAAAATTGGAGAGAAAACTGAAAAAAATTGTTTCTAACCTCAGGGATATTAACCCTTGGCTATCTTAGATTTAATGCAATCAGTGTGCATCAGCATCAGGGTACAGCTCATTTGCATATCATTTGCATATTTTTACAAATACTCGAAATTTAGACAATTTCTGAAAACAATTCAGCATGCCAAGGGTTAATATCCCTGAGGTTAGAAACCATTTATTTTCTGTTTTCTCTCCAATTTTGATGTTTTTTCGTCTTATTTGGGGCCTACAGAGGTTATCAAGGCTTTGGGATACGCTGGTTTGTTCAAAAACGTAACTCTCAACAAGAAACCAAATGACACAGAAATTAACAATTATAGGTCACCGTACGGCCTTCAACAATGATCACAGCCCATACCGCATAGTCAGCTATAAAAGGCCCCGAAATGACAAATGTAATACAATTCAAACGAGAAAAACTAGCGGCCTATTCTATGTACAAAAATAAACGAAAAACAAATATGTAAATTAAAGACTTGGGACAGACACATACATTAAGAATGTGGCGGGGTAAAACATGTTAGCGGGATCCCAAACCTCCCTCTAAGTTTGTAGGAATAGTTGTCCTGGGGAACAGTGGTTAAAAGAACTTGGGGTACAAAGTTTTAATAGGGCTTCAATGGGGAGGACGCTTGAAGAATCTCATTAAGAACCAACAATAGCAATACAGTTATAATTTGCTTCAAGCCTCAGTAGTTCATTAAGATTCAAGTGTGTACAAATGAAGGTACAGAGATCCGTGGGTCTGAGCACTATGAGTCCAAAGTTTAACATAGTCTTTATTTGGAAAAGCTTAAAATTCATCTTATTCAGAACCTGCAATGCCAAACATAGTTAGAGGATCCAGGGAGCTTGAATTGCTCCCCTATTCAACTGGGTCTCATTTGACTTGATTATAAATAAAGTTCTAGTATGTGCAAATCTGAGGTGCTAGTGAATAACTTTAATTAAGCTTGATTGCATAAAGTGTTCAATATTCTAAAAAAAAAAAAAGATGAATTTGTTTACGATACAAACTTTGCCTTTACTGGCGACCATTTTGAAATTCCTATCGCTTCAAAAAGTGAAAAGTTAAACTATAAGGTTGTCGTTATTATCAGATAGCGGTCAGGAGTCTGTAATTCAGTGGTTGTCATTTGTTGCTGTGTTACATATTCGTGTTTCGATCTTTGTTTGTACATTATTAAAACCGTTATTTTCACTCGTTTGAATTAAATTGTTAAACAGCTATCATTTCGGGGACTCTCCCTCTGGTATCTTTCGTCCCTCTTTCATAGCTGACTATGCGGGGGCTTTTCTCATTATTGAGGGCATTATGATGACCTATAGTTGCTTATTTCTGTGTCATTTAGTCTCTTGGCAATCATAATACATATTCTTTTATATATATAGCGATGTCGTTTTTACGACATAGCTATGTCGTAATTACGACATAGCTATAGTGATGTCGTAATTACGACTTGTTATGTCGAAATTACGACATAGCGATGTCGTTATAACGACATGTTATGTCGAAATTACGACATAGGGATGTCGTTTGAACGACATGTTATGTCGTTTTAACGACATGTTATGTCGAAATTACGACATAGTGATGTCGTTATTACGACATGTTATGTCGTAATTACGACATAAAATTTTTTTTTTGAATGGCCCTTATCGGCTTCCGTACATCTCCTTTTCATCATTTTATTTATTTTCTGTACATATTTTCTACATATAGACGTATATAGATGTACGAATTGTGTTACATGCAAACTTTAAAATTGTTTAATCATGTATGCAGTTAATATAATAAGGATTTATTGTATATAGTTAAATTTATGGTCATAGTTCAAGGATAAAACTAGGATTATAGGAATTTTACTGAAAGGAGATAATTGCAAATTTTGCTTATTCATACACACATGCCTTTTACTTTATGTACCACTGAATTTATTTAATATGTTCTAATTAGGAGATAACTATTTCAAAGCAGACTGAAAAGAGGCCATAATAATGACCCTCAAGAAACTAAAACCTATCACACCTCCACCTGAATTATCTACAGAAATAATTAGAAATTTAGGTAAAAGGTATGTTTATAGAAGAAAACTAGCCTTAAAACTTTTTTAGGCTAATGACAGATTAGTAACTGCTGGCATTATGGATTCGTAAATTGTAATCTTTTACATAAAAGAGTTGTATTACAGTAAGAATAACAACTTACACATGTACCTTAACACCAAGTTACACATGTACATAAACACCAAGTTACGCATGAATCTAAACACCAAGTAACACATGTACCTAAACACCAAGCTTACATCGACTGAATTCACTAAGAGTTATTTTATAGAATGCTTGCAATACCTCCTACTATCTCCAAATGTTACTAAAGACATAAATAATGCACAACAAATGTTACTTGGGGTCATGGGGCTCTGACTTTAATTGTCATACTTCAATCGAAATCTCGACATTAATATAGACTTTATTAGTATTTGTTGTTTTCAGATGAGATTCTCCGAACCATCCCCCCCCCCCCAAAAAAAACCTCCTGCTACGGGTATGGGTAGAGGAAATTCAGACAATATAATGGTAAAAAAAAACACCGACGAAAAATATGAATATTAATCTACACAACACTTCACAGAATACCAAAACCGAGCAACATCATGAATGCAACTAAAGTCTGGGGTGGTCATGATATCAGGTGCCTCGAACGGTTAAACAGATCCTAATAGCTGTCGTGTTGTTCATAGCAAGTAAAAATTTGAGGATAAGTCGCATTTAGTGATGTCGAGGATAATAGACGGGGTGAGTCTACGACCATCGGGCAATATCTGTAGACATCTGTGACACATATATTCCATTACAGTCATTTAAATCATGATGGCGTCAATAAAACTACTTGTTGAAGGGTCACTTCGACTTAACCATTAGGAACCAAATAAAGGTCACATGAATCGTATCTTGATTACAGGCTCTACAATCAAGAGGATGTGATATTCCGTTTGTAATAAGTTTTCTATTGGTACGACCAAACTTCCAAACCAAACCTTTGTATCAGTGTAACGAAATCAATGACTTAAAGCAGATCGGTTCCAAAATTAGGAAAATATTAATAGAAAACGAAAAATCGTCGTAGTTTTGTGTATCTAGTTTCCCGTGTGAAACTGAAATATCTAAATCTAGGAAAAGGACCGTTACTGCTGTTCATATTAGATTAATTTAAACTTGCAGTAAGTTTCCTTGGATAAATTTCCGCAGTATATTTAGAGAATTCTTCAGTATTGACGGTTAGTATGTTAGATTTATTAATTGAATTGAATTTAGACAACTCATTGCTGAGTTTTTCCATAAACTGTGATTCATAACAATACAGGAACGAGACTGCATTAAATGGCGCGATTGGTACCAATAGGAATAACTACAACCTATCGATCAACTTTATTGCCGAAAATACATAGATTTATATATATGTTTTGGTCCAAATTCCATTGGGGAACATACAGTATCTAATGTTTGTGTCATGCTAAAAAAGGTGAACAATCCATTATTGATAAGTTTTGAAGAATATATTTTACATTGCACCATGAAGCACCCATTAAGAAGGGAAGGGTTAGCGTGTGAGATTAGAGTTGTTAGAACAAAATCACGAGTCCAAATATACTTTGAAAACTTGATAATGAACTGGGGTATATAACAGTCATTTATTTCCACTACTATTACTAAATGAAAAATTTACAAAGAAAATGATGCAATAAATAATGATGTGTAATTTATTTTCATTTACTACATTTTAATTATTTCCATTAGTTACTTAGTTACTTAGTTATTCCTTCTGATAAACCTATACTTTTATGTCGTATGTAGTTATTCACTTAAAACTCAAATTACTCACTATGAAAAAAATAGTGAAGTTGACCTGTATATGGGAATTGTCTAAAAGAGATAACAAAAAAATTGAAAAATATTTTACCTTGTGAAATAAAATAAAAAACAATATGATCCAAAAAAGAATTACATGTATAAATTATAGATGTTCTTACCTTTAAAGATATTAATCTTATGAACTAAATGAACTGTATATTGTATCCAATATTACATAAATGTTTCGTTCAGTATCTTTTGCTTTGTAATATCGTCTGAAACTTTTTAAAACTACCTGTATATTTATTGACATGAACTAAACTTATTGCTTTTCGGTGGACTGTTTAAAAAACCATCCATAAAGCCCATTCATACGGTGACAAGAAGGGTACATTTAAAATGTTAATGGACCGACATACCTCACGGCTGATTTTGTTATTATATTTTGAAGATAAATATAATATCCTTGATTAAAGCCTGTCGTAGAGAAAACATTTTGAAAACTGTGATCAAAAGGCAGATATGGCCCTTTCAAAAATCACATTTTCTTTTACATTTTGGACAATTTTTCGGAAATCCCTCATGATAACTAATAAAATAAATCAATAGAGTATATATTGTATTTCTTAATCAGTTCATCAAATTTCACATTTTTTAACGGTCAAAAGCCAGCTAGTTTTATGAATGTCAAATTAATAATATTTAAATTTGAATAACTATTATCATTATAAGTATTTCAAGGTTTTTAACAACGTTCTATATAAAAATAAGGAGATGTTGTATGATTGACAATGAGACAACTATCCACCAAAGTTCAAATGAATTGGATGTAAGCAATTATAGGGAACCGTACGGCCATCAACAATGAGAAAAACCCATACCGTATAGTCGGCTATAAAAGGTCCCGGCATGACAAATGTGAAACAGTTCAATTGAGAAAACTAATGGGCTAACTTACTTAGTACAGGCACATAAAGAATGCAGCGGAGTTAAAAGTGTTTGCTGGCGCCAAACCCACCCCGAACCTGGGACAGTGGTGTAACAGTATAACATAAGAACAAACTATAAAAATCGTTGAAAAGAGCTTACTCATCAGATCGATACAAAACAGAAAATCAACTAGCAAATACAGATCAGACATGGCAGGGAATTTATACATCCCCCACAACAACAACAACAAAAATACAAAGTACAGACCTGAGGGTTCTCAAAGCCAATAGACGTGTTATGAAATGGTATATACTCGACGCTGAAGTTGTCAAATTAGACTTTTAATTTGGGTATCGTATCAAAACACAAAAGTGATTTGAAGATTTAAATTACATGTACCTATAAATGAATTGAATTTTGTTTTTAAACTGTTTAGTACTGATGTCAAAGTATGTGTTCCTCATAACAGATGTCCGTTTGGAAACATTATTATAAACAATTTCATATACTACTATATATCCATTATGGAATTCGAATATTAATTCATAGCATGTATTTCGTGAGGAATAAATATAAAAAATTCCATAATATTTCTTCCTTTTGGAACACTGATAAAGTGGTAGAGGAGATTGCAAAAAAGGAAAACAATTATGAAGGAAGGAGATTAGGGAAGAGGAGAGAAAGGAGTCGAGGATGAGAGAAACATATACCTTTTCCACTCTTATAAATAAAAGCTATATATCAATGGTATTTTTTTTGTTTTTGTGTTTTCAATATCAATAGCGATTTGACATTTTGCATTGTTCTATCAGAGAGGACTTAGAATGTCTGTTCCAGTTTTTACGTGTTTCTCATTTGTCTGTTGTTTCAGTATGGATTTGTCCATAATTGTTTTTTATCCTCGGGTTTGCATTTGTTTCTTCGTCTTGGCCTATTATGTCTGTTTGGGTTGATCACAAAATGTTTTTGGTTGCTCACCCAATTTTGTCAATATAACGGAACCATAAACAACTGTCATAAAACTGGAAGGTCAAGCTTGCTATAAAACCAGGTTTAACCCACAATTTTCTTCGGGAAATGCCTGTAATAGTCAGGAATGACATTTGTTTTCCATTCGTTCCGTTGGTTGATATGTAAAGTCCAAAGTTTGATTTTGTCAGTTCGATTTTAGACGTTCTAAGTTAATACAATTCATATGAACAAAGACGTGTGCAGGATAGATAGCTAGTCAATAACACACATATGATTTAATGTGTGCCGGAGCACCTGAGATCACCCCCAGTTTTTGGTGGGGTTCAACATCGAAAATAATGGATTTAGTGTAAACAGGGAAGTGGATCGTAACCCTTGGCTAGCGAAGATGGTTCAACATCGAAAATAATGGATTTAGTGTAAAGACGTCATTAACAGACAGAGAAAAAACATGACCTTGTGCAATACCAAAATATAGGTATCGACAGATTGTAGAACTGTGAATATGCATAACACCGTAAGACGGTACCGAGGGAACATCGCCGTCCAAAAAAATAAGATTAACAATAGGGAAAGAAAAATTGACCCTGAAGTTTTTGTGTAGGGTTTCTGGTGTAAAACATTCATATCTAAATCTAGGGAAGGACAGTTATTGCTGTTAATTTTGGATTTATTTAAAGTTAGTTCCTTAGGGTAAATTTTATTTAGAGAATTCTCGATTATCTAACGAAAAAATATCATCAAACAACAGTAGTTGTTGTTGAATTTATCAATTAAATGGAATTTAGATGGTCTGTACTGAGTTTGGACATAAACTGTGATCAAAATAGTTCAGGAACAAGTCTGCTATTAAAGGGGCACAATTGGTGCTCATAGGAATACCTACACACTGTCGATAAACTTTATTGCCGAAACGTACATACATGTTGTCAAGGGGAAAATTTACTGCTTCAATCTTTCATCACACCTCTAGTAAATATATCTAGCATATTTACCTTTCCCATTAGAGAAAAGGGCTTTACGGTAATGTTGTTTACCGAGCCCAGAAATTTATATACGATCCGGGTAAACTTATCAATCCTCAATCCTATAAACTTATTCTAAAAGGTTACCGATTCAACACTGTAATTAGATCTTTGAATATTGTTTTTATTGGTATAAATATTGATTTTGTTATCAGTAAATTAAAATCATACTAATAGTTTTGTTATACACATATGCACTTTAACGGTACAACAATCTGTCGATCGTTTGGCATTTTGACATTGCACAAGGTCATGTTTTTCTCTGACTGTTAATGACGTCTTTACACTAAATCCATCGGATGTTGGATGTGTACTGATTGATATTTTAGTCTTAGATACATGAAATTTTTATTAGTTGTTATTGGCTTTGAACTAGCTGTCAGTAACTGCAAGTACTCTCAGATCTGTACTTATTGTCCTTTTTGTTGTTAGGGATGAGGGATGGATAAATACCCTGCCACGTCCGGTCTGTGGTTATGTTTGATGTTTTTCTGCTATGTATCGATCTGATGAGTTAATCCTTTTTCAACTGATTTTTACAGTTTGTTCTTATGTTGTGTTGTTACACTACTGTCCCATGTTAGGGGGAGGGATGAGCACTCACAAGCATGTTTAACCCCGCCACAAAATGGAAAAGTTAAAACTGTCAAGCGAATCAAAAGGACCATCAAAAGCATGTAATTTATCTAAAAGATCCAAAGAATGTTTTACACTCTAAAAATAGTTAATTCCACTTTTTTCATATGTTTTATTACAAAAGTTAATAATAAGTTCTTTGATAGTAGTTAATGAACTAGTTAAAGAGCACTGAAAGATTAGTAGTAGAAAACTTATTAGGGGCCGAGATGAAACGATATTTTATGGGGTTTTGTGTAGTTTAGGTAACCAATACATAGTGGGGACCGTCAAATGTTCAAAGGAGGCCTTACGTTGAGCTGTGGTAGTGACATGATTATTTACTATTTGACTCACTGTGGAGAGCACGGTCTTGAATGTAGTTGAATGTATAATTTCATTCTTAAGGACTTCCGTGTATTATGTTATATAGATACAATGGATAAGCGTGGATTCTTGAAAAAGAAACCATGAGCCCGGAGGGCGAATGGTTTGTTTTTCATGAATCTACGCTTATCCATTGTATCTATAACTTAAACTATTGGGTATTGTAAGTGAGTTTAAATAACCATGTTATCGTGTCCAACGATGCATTGATAAATCTCAGATCACAATTAATTGGTTAACAAAATACAAATATAACACTTCTACCTTTAAAGATCTTTATATTATCAGGCATCTGAATATTATCTGTTTTTACAAAATAAGACATATTCGAACTTATTTCTAATAAAATTGAGAATGGAAATGGGGAATGTGTCAAAGAGACAACAACCCGACCAAAGAGCATATACTAAGTATATATAATAAGTATGTTACCGAAATTTCTAGCACTCTAGGCACATCACGATTTTCTCGCAAAGGAAATTGTGAACAAACATTTGTAAAATTATGTAGTAAAACAGATGAAATCATACTATATTTATACAACAAAAATTGACAAATAGAATGTAATCATTTTTGTTTCAAACATGTGAAATAGCTAATAATAATCCAAAAAATAAACGTAAAACTCGCTATTATTACAAAAATATCCACTATAACATGCAAAATTAGAAAAAAAAACAGAATTGGGACAACAGAGATAATACAGGGATTCGAACCTAAACCGACAAATCCCTATCTTTTTACTCGTTGATTTTAAGCATGCTAACCTCGCTGCTACCAACTTATACTATACGACTGCCCATTGTGTATATATAAAGGTACAACCCCTGTGTGTCCGATGTTCCCGACCGTGCAAGGGCTGTATAGCCAGTCAAGGTCGTTAAAAACTTCCATTTGTTGTCCGATGTTCATTTATATATATAAAATAGACATCTAAGTTGTAACCCATTGGTAGCCGAGAGGTTTCGTCGATGTGTTGATGTCAGTCATTCATAACAGATTTCAAGGAAGGGTTCGATTCCCAGTGAAGGCATATACAAATTACAAAAATTAAAGGTAAGTTTTTAAATTAATTCCATTGGTGAACAGAAATCAGTAAATTAGCCAATTTAAACTTAATGAAATTAGACACACAAAGGAAACAATTGAATATAGTTTGGTGAGTCCATTTCAGCGGCAGATTTAGGAAGTGTTGATTCTAGAAAAAGAATCCACGGTAAATGAAAAGGCTGACGTCACCACAATGGTTTAATTACGTCATACCACCACCACATTGTCGGCCGGTTCGAACACAAAATGCTTTGCGAGAACTTGAATTTAGTTTTTAATCCTAGAAATGGCTTATTACTTACTTTTGTATTCATTTCTAAATAAACTTCTAC